TCTTATCCAACAGAGTACAAAAACCATACAGTACGATTTGCTGAATTTTCACAAAGCACATGACCACCACTTTAGATTACAAAATCTGCACCTATAATCCCAGTTACTCCTAATCCTAAGCAGATGGAGTGCAAATTTGAGGCTAGCCTAAGCAACATAGCAAGACCCTGTTAACACAGCAATACCCTGTTTCGAAATGAAATTTTAAAAAACAGAAACCAGGAGCTCAGAAATCCTCACATGCTTTCCCAATTGGCTCTTGCCAACGTAAATATGCTGACGTCTATTCCCAAATATTAGTTTTGTCTCTTTTGAACTCTTTTATATAAATGAAATATTCATTTACAACTTGATTCTTTTATTGAACTCATGGAGACCCAATCACATTTGTAGAGAGTACAGGGTATATTCTGCACTGCCATACAGGAGGTCACTGTATAAAAACACCACAATGTATTACTTTTACTCTCTTACTGACACAAATTTAGGTCATTTTTTGTTCTTTGCTATTATGAACTATGCTTTTATGAACATTCTTAAATACAAATCTTTGAAAGCATATGTTTACGTTTTTGTTTAGTATATAATATACCTCAGTATGAAATTACTGTGTCATAGCTTACTTGACATTTATCATTATTACCAAATATTTTTCCACAGAAATGGTACTGCACTACCATTTGTTTTACTCAAACCTCTAGCAAACATTAACATGACTGTCTCCTCAATAAACAAACACAATTAGACAAATATTATTAAAAATAAAGAAAAGACTTAGACATGGTACCTGCCCTCTAGGCCCACAGTCCGGGATATACATATAAACAAATGATCAGCTACATTACAGTTGACATACTGTGTTGATATACTTCATCTGATCTTCTTAATCACAGGAAATTAAGCCAAACATCACCATCCCCAGCATTACTGTAAAGAAAGAGATACTTGCAGGGCAGTTTCTCAAGATGGATCACGCAGCTGAGTCAAATCAAATCAGAAATGGAACTAGGCACTCAACCTGCTGATCCAGGGTTTGTTTCCCCTAGTGTTCTTAGCAGTTTACTCAATATTGGAAGCTGCCAGAAAAATCTACAAAAACTTTAATAGAAAGAAGATGACCCTGATAGATGCGTTTTGATTTTTTTTTTTTTTTTTACTTTTTTTCTTCTTTCTTTTCTTGAAGTAAAATGGATTTGAAAGGGGAAAAAAAAAGATGACAACCTAGGCTCTCAGTCTAACAAGTTCAGCAGCATACAAAATACAACATGGAGACAGAGTCTGAACATCTCTAAAAGGGGAAAGAATGAACTAAATTTATTTCTATCTTCTTGCAGAAATAATTTCAAAACATATACCCCTAAACCAGGTCTGTTTACCACAGACCTGTAATCCCAGCACTCAGAAGGCTGAGGTAGGAGGATCATGAATTCAAGGCCAGCCTGGATAACATAATACCTTGTCTCAATCAATTAGCAAGCAAACAAATGAACAAACTAACTTACTAATTCATAAACAAAATGGTTTAGAAGTATATTTAAAATAGGCATGGTGATACATGCTTGTAGTCCCAGCACTTTGGGAGGCTGAGGCAGGAGGATCACAAGATCAAACCTAGCCTGGGCAATTTAGTAACTTCATAAGACCTAGTCTCAAAATAAAAACTTTAATGTGAGTGAGTGAGAGAGAGAGAGAGTGTGTGTGTATGTGTGTGTGTGTGTGTGACTCATATTACCCTTGGTTCTATACTCGGTAGCACAAGAAAGTATACCTAATTAAACAATTTATAAATTCATGCTCAAATATTCCTAACCTACAGTCAGTGATTGAGTTCAGGGCTGTATATCCCTGAACTAGAAGCACCCTATGAGCCAAGATGGTTTGTTTTTTAGTTTTTTTCAATGAAAAAGATCTAAAGCTTTCATCTATCTTGAAGGTGTCTATGATTTTCAAAAGACACAATAACATGCTTAAAGTATTTTTTCCAATTCAGTACAGAACTATGACCATTTTATGACAACACTGCACCACCTATATATTTTATTTTCTTGTATCACAGTTTATGTATAATAGATGCTAAAATATGTAAGCAGCATGTCACATGTAATGCCCGCAGTGACAATAAAGTTGTTTTCGTCTTTAATGTATTAAATCTAAATAGGATTCTTCTAAAAATTAAATTTAAATGTAATGTTCATGTTTGCCTGGTCCAACTGAGTGGATTCCTAAGGAGAAAGAGCAGTAAACGGGCACCTGTGTGCATGTTTGACCCACAGCCAAAAGCGGTGTTTATGGAAAACTTCAGATGGAGCAAGAAGGCACTCGGCCAACAAAATCTACAGCTGTGAGACTTGGAGCTTACAAATGCCCAGTCTCCAAAAGCAAAAGTGGAATTATGGGGTAGACTTTGAAGCTTGTTTATGCGCAAACTTTTGCAACAAATGACTTTGTATTCCTTATTAAGATACACATTCTCAGGTCAACACTAAAAACAGGTCCTAACACTGAAGAAAACACTGAAAGTGAATACCACTGAAGTATTGATACTTATCCTGCCCCAATAATTTACTTGCACATAAAACTCATAGTAATAAGACAGATGTTTAAAACTCTATACCCACACATTTGCAGCCTAACCATGGAGGGAGAGGGATAACAACCTATTCTGCTGATTAACAAGTCCTGAAAACACAAGAGTTCCTGGCTGAATGGGGACAGAAAGGCTCCTCGAGCCACTGGCATGCATCCCACTCCCCAGTCCTCACGCTCACTGCCTGCAGGTACACACACCCAGAAACTGCCTGACATCTCGGGAACAGGCTATCAATAGCACGGCTTAAGTGAGCAGAACTGAAAGAAACTAGACATCTTTGAAATAAAGCTAAGTACACTACAGAAGATAGAATCCACAAGCACTTGCCTTGCACACACAAGACCCAGGGTTTAATGTCCAGCACTACAAAAAGAAAAACAGAGGGTGGAGCCAGGAGGAGAAAGAGGACAGAAGGAAGGCTGGATAGATGAAAGGGAGTACACATGGGAGATTACATAGGCAGGATATGTATCCCAACAAATGTTTTGCTTTTTTCAAGAATACAGCATATTTGTGGGTTATATATTGGGGTTACTAAAACCAGAAAGAAAACAAATACTTTTAGGGACTGAGAATTGGATTTCATTAAAAAATAAAAATTTTAAAAATTTATGTAGCCTTGACACATGGTTTAATCATTATAATTTTAAATAAAAAAATAAATCTATCAATGAAAAGGTAACCAGCATTTTATCTTCATTCATAGAACAGACTTCAGAGGCATCTCCAACTACCTTACTGTGAAACACCTAAAACAAAAATGACAAATTCTACTCAGATGGGAGGGCCAAGCGCTTCAGGGTAGAGATGCCTTCTCATCTGTGACAGTATCAACTGGATCCTGACTAAACTGACAACCTCAACCAGAAATAAATGTAAATACTCAGGTTGCTGTCTCAGGAGTGTTCTGCCTGAGTGGGAAATCCAGAGCTGTCCACTACAGCACACAGTAAAACAACTGCACTAAAGACATTTCTTTCTACTTACACTGAGGACCACTGTTACCAAATCATTTTTGTCTCAACATACTCTGAATGGAGTACCTTTGAAAGAGGATTCTGGGTTGAGTAAAACCCTTTGGTATGTTGCCTCCTATAATGTCTACTTAACACACATGGCAGGTATACTCAAGTCTTTTTGTTTTCTACAAGGCAGTACTGTACAACACTTGCTTTAGCATTTTTTCTTGTTTTCATTTTTTCCTAGCAATCAGTTGGCTGTGAAGAGAAAGTACAGTTCCTACTAACATGCCAGGAATGAATTTCATTGGAGTCCTTCTCTTGCTGCCATTAGCATCTCTGGTTCTAAAGGTCAAAATTTCCAGTGCTGTCTCAACTTGCACTGAAATGGCTGGCAATAATAAAGAAGGAATTAATATTTTTTTAAATGGGGGGGAGAGGAATCTACAAAGGCGGATTTCCCTTTCTAAGTAGCATTATATTAGTCTACATTAATAATTTTCCCAGCAGGCCTTCCATGATTTTATTTTCTGAACAACCCAGTCTTTGTTTCTCGATCCTCTTACATGTGACATTTGATTGAAGTTTTAAAATTAGCAGCTAACAGAGAAGAAAAGTACTGCTCACTGAGGAATTACACAAAGCCCTGCCTCAGCTCATTTCAAGGTTGCTACAAGCTAGATCACAGACGGTCCCCAGCTACACACTTCAGTGCTGAGTTAAATCTTATGTTCCCTGCATACTACATTTTACTCTACTTCATTACACTCATCAGTAAAACTTTCCCATCACTAAAGCAAGTTTTAGGAAACAACTTCAGTTCTTTCACACAGTTGTGCTGTTTAAAGATAAGTAAATACAGGGTACCAATTTTATTTTCATTCAAAGCCTTTTTACATAGCCCTTTCAAAGTCTGTTTCTTTGCAATAAAAAAAAAAATCTCAGGTAACAAATTACCTAGATTACTGGTTCTAAAACTAGTAAGAGTCACTCTTACAAGATGGAATAGGAAAAGAAAACTAGGAAAATCAATTCATTAATTTATGCCTAAACATCCTTATCCAAATAAATCTTCCCCAAAGAAATGGTGGAAAAAAAGATTAGTGAAGGAGATATCTCACACTTCAACATGCTATATAAGGAAAGACGGCTGAAAGGAAATCTTGCAGGGAACTTTATCCCTTTGAACTTTCAAATAAACTCTTAAGTAAGATTATGCAAACTTACTAAAAACCGGTCCTGATTAGAGGGAAAAAATGCACCCCTTCTCCAAGTCAGTTCTGGAGGCTTTCTCCAGAGTTGTTAAGGTTTGTGTTGGGTAAAGAAAGACCTCCTAACAAACCAGCATTCTTTTCCACATGATCAGAGCTAATTGGCCCCCCTGCAGACTAAGTGACCAATCACATCAGCTTCAGCTGAAACCAGCCCCCACAACAATATAAACACAGGAATGTAAGCTGTAAAGCCAGTCCAAGAAGAGAACCTACAAACTACACCTGTAGATTACAAGTACCTGATCAGAATCAGGCTCTGCAGGCTTCCTAAGATCTACCTTGGCAGATAGGCTGACCACTGCAAAGGAAGTGGTGAGTACATCAAATAACATTCATTTTTATTTCTTCCTGGGAAAGAAACTGACTGGCAAATAGAAAACAGAGCTAGATTACTTCCAATAGATTTCTTTAAACATAAGGTCATACATGAAAGGTCTTTCTTTTCCTTAAATTTTAAAATGAGAATAGCTCCACTGAAAGCAGTAATGGAAGTTTTCCTCTTAATTACTTTGTTAAATATATAAAGACTTTCCAATATAATATAGGAGTAAAGGAGAAAGGCCCTAGATAAGATTCAGTGTCTTTAAGAATCTACATTTCTTTGGAAAAGATTTAAAAAACAAGAAATAAGTATACAGAAATAAATACCTAAATAATAAATCATCATTTTTATTTTGAGAAAATTAATGAGTATCTTTAAGTTTCTTTTTAAGCAAGGAATTATTACTGAAATTAATAAGCACTTTTGCAAACCAAGTATGAAAGAATCTGAACTTATATAAGAGTTATAATTCACACTATTTGTCCTAATTACAGAATGCAGGAGAGATGATTACAAGATTCTTGACAGTCTTATTAAAGTGTGATTATCAGACATGAAAAAACACTGTATTCACTTAACATTTCTTAGCATACCTTAAACCTTAACTATTTAACATGACTGTAGTACTACTTTTAAAACGTAACAGAAAAGACATAATTTTAAGGACTACAACTTAATAAGAATGAAACTATTATTTTGACAACCAATTAAGTTAGCAAACTATCATATAACTTTTATAATTTATAATAGGTACTGTAAGCACTATCTATCTTTTATACTACATAGTTTCCCCCGCCAAAACAACTTTTAATTTGGCAAATATTTTACAGCCCATACACAGAACTACAGAACAAACTTTCCTAATTTCCCATTCTACTTTCTAAATGGATCACTTAATGAGAATCATATAAACAATCAATACTAACCAAGGCAAATATATTTAAAAAGCACTCGAGTGCCTGCAGGGACATAAAAATGACTTGGGAATAGTATATATATGTCTGCCCATAAGATATTTTGGAATTTGATAGTAAAAATACTACCCATCCAGTGACTTTAATGAAATGTTTTAAAAACCATATCAGCAGACACAAAATCATGTAAGACACAAAGGATCATTCCTACAGAAAACCTATCAACCGAAGGAACTGAAAATAAGCTTACAAAGGTATACAGCTTTAAGGTATCATGTTATCTAATTCCCTTTTCCCCCTTTCTTTGTTTCGATTTAAGGACACCTGGAAAAGCAGACCAGGTGGCTTGCCCAATAACCAACAGAGACAGCGCCTAATGGCTGTATCTCCCTCCTGTGTTCTATTATACCACAATGAATGCAAACAGTTAACTTATTAAGTGGGTATCCAATATTTCTCTCAACCATTTGCCAGCACAATCCAAATAAGATTCAACAAAATTTCAAGTAAAAAAAAAAAAAAAAATATATATATATATATATATATATGGCTTCACTGTTTTTGAGATTAGTCCTTTGACTTCCCTGTGCATTGGTTTGTCCGTGTTATTAAAGAAAAAGAAAAAAGAAAACTATTAAGAGCCTAGAGTAAACCTGCTGCAAAAATTGTTGGTAACTCAAAAAGCCCAAGTTAGAATAATTTTATAAAGCATAGTACATCTCCATTTTAGTAAAGTAGGTTAAAATAGTGAAGAATCATGGGGCTTTTTTTTCCTCAAGCATCTGTCAAACACTGAGCACTTAGTAGTGTTCTGCTGTTGGACAGTGGTTCCAAAAGTAGAACCACCACCAGTATACAGCTCAGAAAGCCTTTTCGACCAAAGTAGGAACAAGAAACAAAGGACAACAGAATTGTCCACACACTCTGAAGGAACCAACTATCCTTCAATTGTTAAACCCTTCCTACTCGAGTAGCACAATCTTTTCTTTTTAAAACTGCATTCAGTATATTTTTATAACTATCTTATTTGGTAAAACATAACAGCAACATGCTGTGTAAGAAGTGTTTGATTTTTCTTTAACTTTTTTTTTTTTTTTGTGCCAGTGATGGAACTCACGACCTTACACTTGCCAGGCAAGTGCTTACACCACTGAGCTAAATCCCTGGCCCTAAGAAGTGTTTCTAAAATTCAGTTTTTATAGGTCTGCTAAATACAACTAGACTAATAATTCGGACTGTACTAAAGTCCAGGTCTTGAAAGAAGTCTTCCTTAAAATTCGTTTCTTACCTCAGAATTATAGCTCTGAAGCTAACAAGCATTCCTGAAGAGTAAATATTCGGTAATGATTCTTAAAACTAATCACAAGGCTAACAAAGGTCAAATGTATGTTTTACTGGCAACATAGCACTGACTCCAGACTCAAAGAGTGCGTGGGGTTAACATTCAGAGGTACTATCTTTGTGAATTTATGCAACTCACTGTGCTTTAGTTTCATTACTTGTAAAATGAGAATAGTGGTACTTACTGCTATGAAAGCTAGAAAATGTTATTCAGAACAGTAAAGTAGTTAAAGTTTAATGACACCTTCTCATCAGGCATTGCCTATTGGCTTCACATGAGTTAGTGTAATAAACTATTTGTTATGATTCCTGACATAAAATGTGATACATTATTAACTAATATGATTAATCATGATTGTCCTAAAAATCATGTCTAAAATGAATGGTTTCAATTAGTTGAGTTTCAAGGGCAAGAATACCACCTAAACATCTGGCAACAGAAGAGTCATTTTAAAATACATTACCAATTATCTTGGGAAAAATTTTTATTTCAAACTCTCTGAATAATTTTTTGTAACAACAAAACAAAAACAGAAACAAAAATATGTCTTTGCAGTTAGCCCAAAATGAGTAATAATCCAAAGACCTCACCTGTCTTGTATAATTCTATTATTTAAGTATCAGTAACCTCATTTGAAAATTGGCATGATAACATCTGTCTTGCTGAGGAACTAAAGAATTAAGAGATAACGTAGTATATAAAAGTGTGGTACCTATGAAGATTTTATTATTGTTGTTATTTCTAAGTGGACAGAGATCAGGTCTCCTAAAACATTTAAAGAATCTAGTAAAATAAAGATCGCTGCATATGAGATGGGGGTATGGCTCAGTGAAGAGCACTTGCCTAGCAAATGGGAGGCCCTGGGTTCACTGCCTAGCAATAGATAGCCAGACAACCAGAAAGAAAGAAAGGGAGGAAAGGAGGCGAGGGCCATGCAAGGGGGAGAGAGAAACACATTAAATACAATGACTGTGATAATTTGCTGGGGTAATAAAATACAAAACATTAATATAGTAATAATAATAAGTGAACAATCTGTAGCTCAAAGATTTCTAGTATCACCAACAAATGTTACATTAGCCTCAGGACAAAGGAGAAAGTTGTATATAAGCTGCCGGCCAATGTCCAATCCCAGTAACACAGAAAGGGAGCCTCCAAAGCCCTGAAGTTCCTAGACAAAACGATCTATCACATCCAGGAAACTGCCTCACTCCATGTGTGCTTAGAGACCTTACTAAGCATCATTTAAAAGGAAGAGACAAGCCACAATCTCTAAGGTATCTACTTCTGTAAGAAGCAGCAAGAAAAGCCAAATACAAACTCCAAGAACTATGGATATGCCAAGTAAGGAAACTCAAGGGAAGCGAGGCTACATTTCCTGATCTGTTCCTGGTAGACTCTTAGACCAAAGCATCAGACACTTGCTTGCCACAAGAAAACACATCAGATTTCTATTCACTACACACAAAAGTACAACAGCGGTGAAAAACACTGTCAGCAGAAAACTACACATTAGTTACCTTTTTCAAACTACCATTTGATCTCTTAATGACTATGTCCATCCTTAACCTTTTGCAGCTTTTTCTTCTGGCTTACGTACTATTCAGGTTATTCTTACTTGGCTGTGACTCTGTGTAGAGCACTTACCTACCATGTGTGAGGCCCGGGGTTAAATCCTTAGCACAAGACAGAAAGACAGGAAAAAAGGGAGGAAGGAAGGGCCATGCTAAGAAGAAAAATACACTAAATAAAATGATGGTGACAATTTGCTGGGGTAATACATTATAACATTAACACCCTAAAACACCCATGTTTTAAAGACTGTAATATGAATCTGAGATAACTAATTAAAATTAAAAAAACAAACATTACCATACAGTGAACAACCCCTAGCCCAAAGGTCTCTAGTAGCATCAACAAATGTTAAATTAGCCTCAGGACAAAAGGGAAAGTTGTATATACAAAACTGGCCAATGTCCAATCCCAGTAACACAGAAAGGGAGTCTCCAAAGCACCAGTCCCTGGAAAGGACCTAGTGAAGCCAGGAAACCGCATCACTCCACATGTATCTAGAGCCCTGGGTTTGTTCCTAAGATGGGAGATGGGAAGCAAGTATTTTCTTGACATCTTGACCTTGAATATTTTATTTTACCAAGAAAATAATTATCCCTCAACCCCACAATGAAATCAGAAGCTAGAATATTTAAAAATATAGCATCCCATCAGCTGGGACAGAAAAAAAAATCTATGAGTATGTCTATAAAATGACAGAACAAAGTTCAATCATAAAACTCATATAAGCGTATATTAGAACTGTAGATCCCTAGAAGCTTAGCACAATTATGTCTTATCCTAGTACCAAGTTTAGCTTCAAAAGATCTGTGAACACTTTAATACTAAATTTGCAAGCAATTCCTATTTATTTATACAGAAGAATACATAGTCAGGCTTCTTCATTTTCACTAAGAATTATTCACTACTGTAAATTAATTACAGATTTGAGGATTACAATGTATAATGTATATACCATTGTTACCCACTAATCGACGTACTTAAAATTCTGGGTTTTTTTTCCTTTTTCTTTCTTTTTACCTATGAATAAAATGGATTTGGAAAAAATACCACCACCCTTTCTGGTGAAACAGCTCTCACTAGCTAGTGATAACTTAGTTTCCACTGACTGACTTTTACCCATCTCTCTTTCCAGACTCTAGAAATGCTATCTATTGTCAATTTTGTTAAGACCAATGTTTTTATTTCCCACAACAATGAGATCATGTTATGTTTGTCTTTCCCTGCCTGGTTTCTTTCACTTAAAAGAGTGACCTCTAAATCCACCTACACTGTTGCAAATGACAGGATATCATCTTTTCTATGGCTACACAGTCTTTCATTATGCATATCTTCCACATAATATTTATGTCCTATTTTGATTAATGTTTAAGTTGCTTTTATTTCTTGGTTACTGTATAATGCAGCAATAAATACAGCAGTGCATATTAAAATTTTTTCAAATTAATTAATTATAAAAAACTGTGCTGGGGGCTGGGGATTTAGCTCAGCGGCATAAGTACCTGCCTTGCAAGCAGGCAGTCGTGAGTTTGATCCCCAGTACCGATAAAAATGAAAGACAAACAAAACAAAACAAAACAAAAAACTGTGCTGGGTGTGTTAGTGTAGCCCTGAGGTTGAGGCAGGAGGATCATTGTAAGTTTGATGCCTCGCCTTGTACCAAAAAGATATGGAGTGTTAAAAAGGAGCAAATTATAAACTTCATCCTCCTCAAGACTTCTAAAACATACTATGGAAATGTTAAAGTATTGCCAGATATGATGGTACACACCTGTAATTCCCACACTCAGGAGGCTGAGGCAGAAGGACTACAAAGAGTTGGAGGGCAGCCTGAACTACATACCAAGATCTTGTCATGAGGAAAGAAAAGGTTAAAGTATCAACATTTTAACACTTCTTCAAGGAAATAACAATAGATTTCCTAGGGTAACATATGATTAACTAGCAAATAAATACGTCTTGGTCTATAAATGTGCCCTTCTAAAAGTTCCTCAAGTTGCAGTCAGAGAAACATTCTCAAGAAAGCAAAAAGGAATTTTAGAATTCATGAATATTAACTGTAAAACAGGTATGGGCTGACAACCTCATTCTTGATTTCAGAGAATCACAGCCTGAGATGGAAAGCAGTAACTGTAAAGTTATTACTCCTCTCCTCAGTCAAAGACATCGAAGGATGGTCACCAAAGATGGCCATAGCACCCTTCAAACGGATGGCGCTCCAAGAGGCCTTGTGTATCTTCGAGATGCATGGGGAACCCTAATAGACATGCGCTGGCGCTGGGTGATGCTAGTCTTTTCTGCCTCTTTCGTTCTCCACTGGCTTGTCTTTGCAGTGCTCTGGTACGTTCTAGCCGAGATGAATGGTGATCTGGAACTAGATCACGATGCTCCACCTGAAAACCACACTATCTGTGTCAAGTACATCACCAGTTTCACAGCTGCATTTTCCTTCTCTTTGGAGACGCAACTCACCATTGGTTATGGTACCATGTTCCCCAGTGGTGACTGTCCAAGTGCAATCGCCTTACTTGCCATACAAATGCTCCTAGGCCTCATGCTAGAGGCTTTTATCACAGGTAATTTGTCTTTGTTCTTAAAAATAATTCCAAGCACACTAAAAAGGGTATTGTCAATTATAAGCAATTCTGTTACAGAATAAATCATTTGTATTATTAAGAAGTAATGCCAAAGGAAGAAAAGAAACAGTCTAGGACCAAACAATAAAAAATGTACAAAGAATGTGACATATTTAAAGTTTACCTATTTGATCTACTTAAGGGAAAAGAGGGCCATTACAACACTAACTTGTAGGAACATTATATGCCAAAGAAATTGCCAAGAGGTCTCAAAATTTTCCACAGGGCCAGATATTTAGCTTAGCGGCACAAGCGCCTGCCTGACAAGCCTGAGATTGTGAATTTGATTTCCAGTACCAAAAAAAAAAAATGTTTTTTCACAAAAGCTAACCACTTTGTTAAATAACTGAATAAGCATGTTCCATGCATATTTTGATAGTTTGTTGCTCCCTAGCAGAGACATTTGGTGGTTTTGAAAATCATCTTACCAGTATCAGTGAGCTCACAGCACCACAGCCAGCATTACATGCTGGGGAGCATCCTTAGCAAAATATGCTGAAGAGATGACTATAAAGAGTAGGAAATTTTGCTTCTACAACTGGTGGCTAGCTGGGTGTGGTGGCACACACTACTGAATCCAGCACTGGGAGGCTGACGAATTGCGAAGATGGCACGGTGAATCCCAACCTGGGAAGCTTAGTGACCAGGGAAGCACTGTGTCAAGAAAACCAAAATATGCACTTGATAGCATCTAAAGGTCTCTCCTTTATTAAAGGTAAAGGTACAAAGTAAAGCTAATTCCCTTTTAATGTTATATATAACAATTTTATAAAAACAAAACCTGGCTTTAACATACTATCCAATAATAACCTAAGAACTACCACACCACTTGAATGGTGCTCTGGCATGAAGTCCCAGTGTGCTATCAATCATCTCTACAACCAATAACAAATTCGTAACTTCTGTAAGAGTTCTTACACTGGGTCACTTCTTGGATAAATTTATGGGAGTTGTGAATTTAGATAAGGAAATCTAACAACTTTTTTGCACTAACTCCTAAATGAATTTGACACACTTCTCTCTGTTGTAAACATAGCAGGCAGGCAGTTACAAGACAGGCATGGTAGCACATGTCTGTAATCCCAGAACTCTGGGAAGCTGAAACAGGAGGGTTACAAATTCAAGCCCAACCTGAATAATTCTTCAACTTAGCAAGATTCTGTCTCAAAATAAAAAAAACTGAGATACAGCTCAGTGTAAAGATGGTGGGTTCAATCTGCAGCCAAAAAAAAAGAAAGGGAGGGAAGAAAGGAAGAGTAAATGCAAGGATCAGTACTACTAGTAACTGATAAAAACTGCTATCACGAGTATTTTCATATTAAACTACAATACTTCAAAATCACTATATAAGTCCATGGTTAGATTTTATTGTTTGATGCATCAGAAAAGTACATGTAGTACTATATTTTTCCAATGTTCAGCTCAATTTCAATATATTTTTTTCTGTATGCATTTTACTCTTGAGCTATTTAAAAATAACTCTAATATGCCCAATCTGCCAACAGGCTCTGCTGCACCTAAGTGATTAAGAAACCCTCATTTCTACCCGAGGGCACAGAAGAATGTACTGAAATCATCTAAAAGTTTCCCCAATAAAAAGTTTTATGTAGATTTCAAAGTTAAAAACTTTCAAGTGATAACTCCTCCTATCCCAAATCATTCCACTCTTAAGTAGTCTCTACTTCAACTTGAAATTATCTGGTGATAACCAAATTTCATTTGTTTTCTATTTTTTTTTTCTGTTAAATAGGGAGAGGAATATAGGAAATGTCCTATTCTTTGACTTTGTAAGATACAGTACTAGAGGAAAGTTTTACATTTGCATTAACAATATCCATTTCGAAATTATGGTTTCTTTACAGAAATTTATATATACTCTAAAAATTCTGCAGGCCAATGAGACTTCCCACAATTAAATGATGAATTGAATTCCTGAGTATTAGAAAGCAGAGCACCAAGAAATGTTTATTTGATATACTATTCTCAGAAACGGTATTGATGTTTCAAGTTTTCTTTCTAAAAGTGGTTTCTAATTTAGGTGCCTTTGTGGCGAAGATAGCCCGCCCAAAGAATCGAGCTTTTTCAATTCGCTTTACTGACTTAGCAGTGGTAGCTCACAGAGATGGCAAACCTAATCTTATCTTTCAAGTGGCCAACATTCGACACAGTCCTCTCACCAGTGTCCGGGTCTCCGCTGTTCTCTATCAGGAAAGAGAAAACGGCCAACTGCACCAGACCAGCGTGGACTTTCACCTTGATGGCATCAGTTCAGAGGAATGTCCGTTCTTTATCTTTCCACTAACCTACTACCATTCCATTACACCATCAAGTCCTCTGGTCACTCTGCTGCAGCATGAAAATCCTCCCCACTTTGAATTAGTTGTATTCCTCTCAGCAATGCAGGAAGGCACTGGAGAAATCTGCCAAAGGAGGACATCCTACCTACCATCAGAGATCATGTTACATCATTGTTTTGCATCTCTGCTGACCCGAGGTTCCAAAGGTGAATATAAAGTCAAGATGGAGAATTTTGACAAGACTGTTCCTGAACTTCCAACTCCTCTGGTGTCTAAGAGCCCACACAGGACTGACCTGGATATCCGTATCAATGGACAAAGCATTGACAATTTTCAGATCTCGGAAACAGGACTGACAGAGTAAACCGTATCAATGGCACCCTTTTTTTAATGTAGTGAATATACCCAGTCAGTTATGCAGCTACTTTTCCTTCACTGTATCTAATGTCTTTTTTCCTCAATGCTGATTACTTTTCTCTGAGCACATCATGGCAATCATGCTGTGCCCACATACACACAAAAAAAGGCTCAACTAATAATACACATTTTGAAAACCAAACATTCTACCTTACAAAGTTTGTGTCTGTGGTTATCTACTGAGATCAATGAGACTCAACCTGACATATATTTAAATAAAAATGCTGCTGGTCAGTTTCTAAGGATGTAGTATGATACCAATAATGAAAAGATAAAATGGACTGAAGTTTAAGAATATGGAACTCCTAAAAAAATCAAGGATTTTTTAAAAAAAGAAGGAAAAAAAAATCAAGCAAAAATCTCTCATTTCATCTGCAAATTGAAGCAACAGTCTAGTTCCAAACTTAGCTCCAGGGGCAGAGGATGATTTCACAATAATGAGGGAACATCCTTGTACAACTGTTATTTTTTCAAGACTGCAAAGATTATTCTTTTGATTCTTTATACTACAAAAATAGGGTAAGTATTACTTCCTTCATTTTTAACAGCTAACAACAACTATTCCAAAGAAAAACAACACAGTATACTTACTTACAACCCTAAAATCATTTCAACATGACATCACAACACATGCATGCTCTCTTTTCCATGACCCATCTGATGACAAAAAACCATGACAGATCTAAGGAACTCATAAAGTTTTATAAACACAAAAGTTAAGATACAAATTAAGAAAAAAAACTCCCATAGATGAAGCAAAAAATAATTAGGCAACAAGTATTTTCAAACTTTGAGTGCACTGAAATTCCTGTTTCCAACATCAAATAGTTTTTTCTATAAACATAAAATGAGTGTTTATTCACCAGTAGGAGGTTGGACTAGATCTCTATTATTTCTTTCCAAGTCTAAAGCTCCTTGAAAATTGTGCTTTTTCTGCCTCATTTTTTAATTTTACACATGCTAAGATGAATACTTTCTCTTATACACAGCTTAATTTCTTTGACTAATTTTCATTTTGATTAAAAAACAAAATTATCCTCAAGGAAAATAAGACCCAAAAAGTCAACATATCAGGTTTCAGATGTGTAGCTGCTCTTTGGTGAAATGTCCCGTATTCAGGCTTATGAGGGAAAAGGGCAAGATTAACCTTCCCCACTGATGACGACCCAGGCAGGAATCACCTCTTGAAATAAATACTAGCTGAGTAAAGGCAAGCAATTGTGAAGAGCAGGTCACAGCAGCAAGTCACATTTTTCTACTCTTTAACCAAAAGGAAAAGAAAATAAAGAAGAATGTTGGAGCGGTCTAATACTGACAACAGGAGACTATCAAGGACACAGAAACCTAATTATTGTGAACTTTGTGGTTTAAAAATCTTAGACATTCATTCTTAACTAGCAGTGAGACCAACGGATTTTTCCAAGACTACTGTAAACCATAAAGATAGCAGAAATTCTTATTTCTCTAATAAGTTAATAAGGAAATAAAGTAGTATCAAAGATTCCCATGGTATGTTTTTCCTAAAAGTGCTGTATCATTTACACAGATCACAGCTTACACAGTTAAGTGAAGGTGAGTGTGTGAGACCTAGGATTTGGGTCTCCCTGAATTTCTTCACATTCCTCATTGATGTCAGAAGAGTCTCACACCACACTTACTACTCACACATAAAGTAGTGCCTGAAAACTAAACGTGACCTCCCCTAAGTATACAGGAGGAGGGGCTGTTAATAAACTAGTGCGATTTAATAAATACTTCACAACTAAGAAGTATAGTTAACAAAAACTTTGGGTGCACTGCTAATAATTCTTTCACTTATTTTAAAGAATTATACTTTTGAGATTAAGGGTTATGTTTTCTGCAGACAGACCACTGTCTTTTCTGGCAAATGGAGTACAAATGGAAAGGGAACAGTTACCCTCTGATGGCTCTGCCTTCACAGGTTGTGCAGTTCACCAAGTAGAGCTCGCAGACATTCTCAGGAAGACTAACTAGAACTAATGTAAAGCACTTTGGGAAATGCTTCACAACACACATGGTCTAGCACAAACTAAAGGAATTACTACAAGTCATAAGAGTCTAGATTTATGTATATAAAAGCTCTTATTATTAACTGACAGAAACAATCTGTAACCAAAATTTCTACATTAGTTGGAAGTATTTCACACCAAAATGAACTAATCAATATCACATTTAGCTGAGCCTACTGGTATCATCAAGACCATTTTTTTTTAAATGATTCTTTAATTTCATCCTTACAGAACTATATTACAAAATTATCATCAGAAATGATCTCCTGTGAGGGATGATGATTCCTACCCAGAAGTGTGTGATTCCACTAATATAAAGCAAATGCAGCCAGCGATATAGCTCAGTGGCACAATGTCTGCCAGGCATGTGCAAGGTCCTGAGTTATATTCTCAAGACCAAAAAAAAGCAAATGCAGGAGCTGAGTACAGCTCAGTGGCAGAGCACTTGGCCAGCATGCACAAGGCAAGGGTTTGAGTCTCAGAACCATATGCCAATGTGCACACGTGCGCGCGCGCGCACACACACACACACACACACACAAACACAGAGATGCAAATATATGACATGAACTGTCATTTAAAGAAACAAAACATTCTGGAATCTTCGTACCTGCATTATCTTAATTTGATGCATAAGATATCTCACAATTGATCAAACATCAGTGTGTCCCAACAAACTAGCATTTGCTACTATTCTTAGAAAGCATTAAGATCAATTATAGGCAACTTAAAAATGTGTATTACTTTCAACAGTAGATTATTTACAAAAAACATCAGAATTCTTAGTATAGTCAACCTGAAGTGAGGATTTCAGGAAAAACATTCAATAAAAACTACTGTATTAGAGTGGGAAGGGGGGTAACATATTTTAGTATATCTATTAGCATAATAATCAGTATTAGAAGTTAACTTCTAATCATTAACCTATTAACTTCCTTAATCTTATATTTTATGTCAATTTAGTTTCATGCAATTTGTCTTTTCAAAGACATATGTGGGGAAAGCCAGGTATAGTGGTGCATACCTATAATCTCAGCATGTAGGAAGCTGAGGCAGGAGGACTATTCCAAGTTCAAGGCCAGCCTGCCTCCAAAAGTGAGTTCAAGGCCAGCCTGAGATACAAAGTGAGACCCTGTCTCCAAAAAAACAAAATAACCTTTACTTTTAACAGAGGATAAGAAAACTGCATTTCTATGAAAATCATGAATGATGATGGAATAAAGTTTATACTCATTTGTTTCCACCATCAAAATACAATTATGTGTCAGAGCTAAAAATCTAGGTGCTTTCTTCCAGGGAACTCATTACTTTACCAAGGCAATCCAAGTCATTTTCAGGTAAAGTAATTATTAAAATTTTCAAAAATGTATAAATACCTGGCTCCTTGAACCTTCCACAGTCCCTTTCTGCTCTTGAGAATCATGCAGATCATCACTAATTCCCCTTTCACAAGATCGCTACAAAACATTTGCAGGCAGTGACCCCAAAAACCCTTCTCATCCATCCTGCCCACAGTCCTGACTCCTATGCAAACTGCCTCACTTCCTCTATGCAGGCCCCATGACATGGTTTCAAATGCCCTGGCCAAATGCTCTAACACGTAGACCTTTCCAAGACATGGCCCCAGAAATGAACACATTGGAGCTGGGGGTTTAGCTCAGTGGCATAAATACCTGCCCTGAAAGCAGGCAGTCATGAGTTCGATCCCCTGTACCCTTAAAAAGGAAAAAGACAAAAAAAAAAAGAAAAGAAAAGAAAAAGAAAAAAAGAAATGAACACATTGCTTAGGCTGTCTTGTGACAAAATAAAAAGATACAGTAACAGGCCTCTCCATCATCTGACTCACTGAGGCTAACTTAGATCTAGGAAATGCTGCCCTCTGCTGGGATGACAGCAGCATGTTGCTAATCAACATGAAGCACAGTCAAATTAGAGAGTGGATGCCTTGACTGCCGTTACACACAGCTACTTCATATTTAAATTCTGTAGTTTAGGGTTTTTTATGACCACATACATACTCTTCTGTTAAACTTCCATTTAATTAGAACTGGTCTCTTGTTCCACCTTAATTCTGACCCCAAGTCCAAACTGTCCTATTCCACAGGTAGACCTCTCAACACTCAAAAGATCCGAAAACAGGTGTGGTGGCACACCCCCATGGTCCCCGCATTCAGGAAACTGAGGCAGGAGGATCACCACAAATTTGAGGCCAACTTGGGCTATATAATGAGTTCAAACCCAGCCTGAACTACACAAAGAGTCCCTTTCTCAAAAACAAACAGTGAAAGATTTCAAAATCAGACCAATACACCAAACAAAGGAATAGTATTTACAGGGCTGAAACATAACTAGAAACTCGGTATTGGTGTAAAATGAATAAATGAGTTCAAACACTCTTATTTAACCGTTTCAACCACTTGAAACACTGGTTGATATGTGCAACATTATCCCATCTGGGGGCTACTACCACTGAAAGTATAAATGGATCTGATCACTTTTCTCGATCTTTTTACTAATAAAATTGATAAAAAGCCATCTGACAGAACAGTCAAGAATGCAGCATCAGGATTCAAGCCACACGGCATCAAGATATCAAATCACAGCCCCATTTAATCCCAAAAATTCTATAAGGATTTATAACCTCACTTTATGATGACATTAATGAATACAAGAGTTTTAAGAATTTTCCTACAAAAGGAATTACCACCTCAATCTATGACACTAATGAGTATTTTAAGAGTTTAGACTATCCACATCCTTCTGCTTTCAAATTCGGTACTCTTTAGACTATCGCTCATCATATCTCCATACTCCCTGGCAACCGTATTAAATAAGACGATGAGTAAATCCCTCAACATACTACTCGTTCAGTCATCCATAATTTTGGTAAAACTGATGGTACTGTGCCGATTCTAGATGAAATTTCTTCATGCTGCACTCATTCTGTTTTTTCATTATTATCCAAAAATTAAAGCCATGTTAACAAATGAGGACATCATATCACTGACATGTTTAAATGAGTCTGGTAAGGAAACAGTGAAGCACAATTATTGTAACTACTATATTATTCAAGACAATTTGTAAATCAGTCTGTGAATGATATTTATATACTTAACGTGTTTATGAGAAACACTTTCCCTATCAGGTAAAATCAGTTCTAGAGAATTTTTCTGTTACTTGTAGGAATCTGGAAACTGGTTATTTAATAACTGTGATGGTATAACAAATTCCTTTTTCTCTCAAATTCTATCATCTACTGGCAGTTTATAAGGCAGTACCTCTAATTAGAAAGCCCATCTTATAAAGGTTTTTATATAAATTAAGATTAATTCATCATAAGCACTGAAATTCTCTTCCTTTACTGTAGAAATCCTATTCCTTTTATCCTCCTTGATGGAAATCTTAATTTATTTCATCTCAAAACATGACAAACTACAGTATATATAAAGGGAAAAAAACAAAAGCAAATTATTAAAGTAAAAGCATTTGCAGTTAAGTTGAGTAAATCCTATCATGCAATATCACACAATAGAGACCTTAAAAAACCACAAATTCTAAATGAGAGCAAGGCCTCACCCCTATATGCTGCAGAGGTGCAGGTCAGTGTGTCAATTTTTATTATTTGTCTTATGTGTGAACCAACTGTTAAGCACCAATACCAAGGGGGTGCAGGAAATATTTCAACAGTAAGAACCTTACCTACATCTTTTCGCCCTGGTTTTTCAAACCGTCTGTCACCCCTAAAAAAAGACAAGATAAATTTCAAACAAAGCCTGAGTGTATACATAAATTTCCTATCCATGACACCAATTTGTCGGTATTTTATATCAATTCTTTGTATTTTCAAGTTATAAAACATGGATATTGCATGGTTACTGCTTAATATTTTGAAAAGTTTTTAAAAATGCAAAGATAAAAACAAAGACTTTTCCGCTTCAATTACAGATCTAGCTCCCACTGATTTTACACAGATACATAGTTTTAAATACTGCTTTGAGAATAGTTTTTCCTATATCATTAAATATTTTCAAAAATCATCCTTAAACTTCCTAATTGTACAGTTATTTATTATGTGGATATACCATTAAATAAAGGTAGTATCAACTTTTTTGTTTCCAAGTATTTAATAAAAATCATCTCAGTACTATCACTGTACATCCATCCATCCATGTGCAACTGCCCTCATTTACCATGACAGTCTTGATACAAAGTTATAAGCAATACAGAGAAAATCCTTGTACAAAAACCAACAAAATGGCAATGCTTCTCACTGGAGTCTAATCAAAGAGCAAACCAAATTAACTATTCATGTTGGCAGCAAAAAATTCATCTGTGTATCTAGAATGCTGCTTCCTTTATGGAAGTACTATTTAAAAGTTTCTAACATACAAGTTGATATTAATAGCATTTTTTAAAAAATGAAACCCTAGAACTGTATACAAAGGCTTCTCTGCAGAAAGCAGAAAATAAA